ATGGGTGTAAATAGATCGAGTCTGTGTGTATATATTAGTGAATGTTGAAATAGCCAACGTTTCCAAAATATAAAATAATTTATTTAGGGTTATTGGCAAAATAGAGAAACAATTTTTACAAGAAATTTCCTTACTGTTGTTTTAGTAAGTGAAGACCGTTTATAATTCCCAATTTTTAGAACGTTTGAGAAATTAGTTCTAAATCGTAACCAGTTCCCTTAATATTTGTGGAATATTCACTTCTATTTCATTAACTCAAAATTAAACTATGAAGGGAAACCACATAGACTGACTGACCGCAATTTAATTATGAAAATGTTAAGTAAATGCATAAACTTCCTTTAAAGACATCTGTCTTATTTGATCATCAATGTTCAGAATCCTTAATCGCCAATAGCCGTCTAGTGATGAGAAAAAATTGAATAAGTATAGTGAAGCTATATTGACGAGTTTCCATGTTACAATGTGATTTAATTGAAGAAAAAAATTCAGAACTTATAAAAACAGAAAAATGGGGTGTGCGATAGACTTACCTCCACGTGGTGCACACTGGACAACGTATCTTCGTACGCAAAAAAAGTCTATCACTCGGCATTTGATTTTAAGGGCTAATGATAAATATCAAAAAGCCTGCCATTTGAAATAAATAAATAAACAAAAACAGAAAATATAGCAGATGAGAATTTCTAGGAATAGAATATATTCCCAAAAGGTAGTTGGGGCTAGGGTCCAGTAAAATAGCATAGAGCAGTTTATGTAATAAAGCATAAGTGATTTTATTTAAAATAAACGAATTTTGAAATTAATTCGTGATTTTGATTGAATCTTATTATGATATCTGCTTGGAAAGGAATCGTAAAGACTAAGTAGGGCGTATATCAAGGCAATATAGTTTAGAAGACAATGGATATATAGAAAATAATATAATGGAATAAAAGCCTATATTTTTCCAATTAAATTAAATTAAGACAATAGTCACATGAAGAAAAAATAACGGATTAGACGAATTGAGAAACATAACCAACATGATAAAAACCGAACAGAATCAAAATTTCATATATATATGGACGAAGAATAGAGTTTATTAAAGGGGTAAAACAATCTTATACACGAGTAGTCGTTTATTGTATTTTACAAATTTTATATGCAATGAAATAAGACCTTGGTTATATTTAACACTGACCAATTTGCCTCCTTACAACAATTAACCTATATTTTCATCGTAATGACCTCAAGGACGGCTGTTGAGACTTATTTCAGAAATATCAGGTTTCTTCGTAAAACTGTTATTGTGAAAGAAAATGATATTAATTCTGCATTTGGAGCTTTAAACAGGTAATATAACTATTTGAATACACAGACTTCTCATTTTGATTCCTTATTTGCGTTTATCGATAAGTGTATTAAACAGATTGAGACACTATTAACAGCTGTCAAATTCAACCCATGTTCTTTAGCTTTTATTTTCGCAAATCTTCTGATGCTTTACGGATGTATTTATTTATTTTAGAATTCTTCGAAATGATCGCGTCTTAAATACGATAAAGGCACAAGAATATTACGAAAAACCTACTAGAATGCGGCGCCGTGTTATGTATGAACGTTGCAAACGAATCTACGATAATGAAATGTCTCGCAAAATCAATTTTGTGATGAGGACTGATCGTCCAGACCCTTGGATTCGATAAGTGACCTTTTACCTTAGCGTATTTTGTTCATAGGATATTTGTAAAGTAATTCTGAAATTCAAAAACGGCCGCACTCTCTTTTGCTTTTAATGTTTTTGATGGTTCTTGAATAACCATTTTTATAGCGTGTCTCAAACGAGACAGATACAGTTACAATTCCGGCTCCTCTTCTTTTCTTATTTTACGAAGTAGAATTATTACCCAAATCAGATGTGGTTATTGCTTTTTGCCAATGGTCCTTAATACTTGGCTTATTTAGTGTATACATGTGATGTACACTACATCAATACCTTTACTTGATCTTGGACGGTTTAAAATGAACTGTAAAATTTATTCTCACGTGAGCATATTAATTGGTTAAAACGTCAGTTATGGGAAAGGAAAGACTGGTAGTTACGCTCTTATGACAATCTGAAAACTCATTCTGTTTTGAATAAGTTGGCACGGCTTATGATGAAAGGTAAAATTTTTGCCAGGAGTAAAATGTAGCTATGACTGGAGAAAAAACAGAGTAAGGCTTAAGTTCAAAGCCGGGCTGACTGAGTTGATCAAGCGATGAAAGAGACAATTGGTAAGGTGTGAAATGAGCATTCACCATTGGGATGCTCCCTAGGGATACAATATATATATATATATATATATATCCAAGTGGGAGTTCACTACCAAAGTCTTACGGACGTTTAGTCGGAAATTGAAGGATAGAGCGAAAGCAGAACATTTGTTCAGAAAAAAAATACTTTTTGCTAAATAGTGTTTGTACGTATTTTCGTGAATTCAAGTGGGGAAGCACATTGATCATATAACGTGAAGAGACGGCACGTGGTTGGGGCTTTAGCGAATTTGCCCTATAGAATCTTGATAATGAATTTTAGGCTAGTTTTACAAAAAAAGGATTCTCAGGTAATTCACTAACCGATTCAATTACCAATCCTGATGAGTTTCGTTGGCAATTCAAGTTTATGGCAACATTTCAAATGAGATGTGGATTGCTAAAATTAGAAAATGCAAAGAGGTTAACTTTTCCTATAACTAAGGCCGGACAAGAGCGCAAAGCAGGGCTTAGAATACAATTGTACACAGTGGAATTTACCCAAAACAAAAGATATCACAATAAAAACAGTTTGGTTTAAATCAATTGACTATAAATTCTAGCCGGAGCCCAGCTAACCTTGATAAATTAAAAGATCTAGTTCAAATTATATGATACCCTATTTTAACATTAAAGTAGGCTTTTAGATGTCTTCAGAGATCATGGATGACAAACTCGAGAAGATAAGCGAGGATGGGACAGAGAATCGTGGTGAAAGCATGGAATTTAAAAATGTTTAATGAGTTATAATAGGCTAGGCTAACTTCGTTTCCCAACTGATAAATAAAGCATGTGGGGCACAAAGATGATGGATGAAGTTTGTCATACGCGTAAACTTTCTTTACTCGCAACAAGAAGAATTATCAAAACAGAAAGACAATGACACACTGGGGTCGATGGACCCTTATTCAAAGCCAAATTCCTTTAACAACGCCCTTGCTCGCTCTTGATTCGCCTTGATGATTTTCAATTCTGAATCAATGCTAGCTTGATCCTCAGAGAGTTGATTCAGATCAGCCCAAAGTCGGTCACAGGCCGGACTTCCATCAACTCGCTCGAAAGTTGTCATATTTTTCAAGTCCTGACCAGACAATGCCGAATAACTTTCTGCAAATTTCATTATTTCTTGCCAGCTTATAGAATCACTCATCTAAAGAAAAATTACACAACAATGATCCACAGATACTCACTCGATAAACGAATCGATAACGATAGCATGTTTCGATTTATTTATTAAATTAGCAAGGAAAGAAGGAACATAGAATTACTAGATGAGAAAACAAAATAATCACGAAAATACAGTCAAGTAAATAATGGAAGAGATCAGTAAGCAAGTTGAGTTATTGCTGTTGAGAGGAGTAGGAAAGCCCACTACGAGGAGGCAGAGGAATCCTACTTCTTGAAGGAACGAGCTGTTCCTGACTACTTCTGCGCATAGGAAAATTACTACCATCACCAAAGCCAAAAGACGGGAGTGTCTCGTTGCTTGGAAATCGGGGATTCCTTCGAATAGCCTTCACAGGAGCTGGAAGTCGAGAAGCAGACACTTTACTGGAGGGTCTACCAACAATAACTGCTTGTTGAGTGCTTAAAAAAGGTAGAAAAGCGTCACCCACTGGCTGTTCAAGCCCTGGAGAAGTGATACTAGCTTCTCCACCAACAACTAAGCTCTCATCACTTCCAACATTTCCAATTCGGTGAGCAACAGATTTACTTTGACGCTGACTGTCAAGAGAAAGCCTCAGCGCAGCCATTTGCTGTTTAGCAATATCACTGGGAGTAGGACTAGAAGAAATGTTAAGACGAGGTTGACTATTGTACGGACTTTCCGGACCTGATCGATTAAGAGACTGTTGACTTCCACCAGAACGAGCAGCATACTGATGCGCAGAGATAGCAGCTACTTCCGCCTTCAATTCATCCTCCTGCTTGCGAGCCATGCTGCGGAGATCATCAACATTTTGAAGATCATCCGTTGAGCCAGATGTGCCGGGCTTGAAGGGTATAGGAGAGGAGCGTTGACGTGAGTGTTGATTTAATTGATTCTGTTGGGGAGGGATGACATCAGAAACATGTCTTTTTGGACGAACGAAGGTGACAGTGCTACCCGGAGCAAGGTTCTGGTTACTTCCTACACTCATAACACGGCTTTTGATAAACGTATTATTGTTTGTGTTGTTGTTCCCATTACTCATATTGAGAGAAGGAACACTACCACCGAGGTTCGGAAGTCTTTTAAAGGGTTCTGTGGCAAGTATAACTTCTAAACGATTAAGGAGATCTTTACGTCTTTGGTAGAATTTCGAAGAGGGTGAATCAAACACCTCTCGCACCCAGAGAAGGCAAGAAGCATTTAAATTTAAAGGAACATTTTTTGGTGGTTTAAACAACCAAAATTCATCTTCAGGCATATTTTGTAGAGGTCTGTTAAGAGTAGTAGCACTAGAGACGTCGTCAGCCTCGTACACATCCTGATATTGATTGGAATGAGCATTATTGGTATCATTGACTATATTTTCATCTTGTGACTCGACAACCGCCGCTGCCATCTATCTCTAAAAAAGAAAATAAGAAAAAATAAGTCTACACGATTAAGGTTAGTAGTAAAAGGTGTTACATGGTTTCAGGCCAGCCACTCACTAAGACGGCAGATCAAAGATCCAAGCTTCATTTACGAACCAAAGATTGGATGCAAGTTATATATGAACTAATTGAATCGAATAAAGCACAATAATTTTACAAATTACGAAGAACAAAAATTAATAAACAACACTTTATTAAAAAATCAAAGTAGCAGCTACACCACAGTTGCATACAGAAGCCACAAGAGCAAAACATGAAAAACAACTAAAATTAGCTATTCCATGAAATTGCCATTTTAAACTTAAAAATCATAAAAACGTACAAACAAAAGGAGAAACCTACATGCAAGGCGAAAGTGAGAAAATCAATTTAATGGCTTTCAAAGGTCAAATAATCTACACCAACAAAGAACATATAAATATATAAGTTGTAATAAGACCATCTAGATAAAACTTTAATTAATTTATGGACTGGAATATTTTATTAAATTTCATTCTTAAAAGTTAATGAAATTTGATTAATTGTAAGTGTAGGACTATTCAATCACAATTAATTATAATTCAGTCACTTAATTCTTCAGTGTAAGGCAACTAAACTTAATTTTACCAGTGCAAAAATTGCTCTATAACTAGGCTTTTGTTTACCTGAAATTAAGACATTCATAGATTGAGAGAACTGAATTTAATTAATTTAATTTTATCAAATGGTAGACTTCGTGATAGCTATTATTAGTCCTTTAGGGGGAAGGGACATCAAAGTCACAGCAAGTTGATGGATTGAGTTACAAAAGAGTGATGCACAGATATAAAGGAGACAGACATAATGGTATAGAGAAATATGCAAGGTGGGTGTTGTAAAAATTGTCTAATAATGCAAAAAGTCGGGTCATGGCAGATTAAAGACAGAAGTCAACTGCCGGTTTTTAGGCCATTATGCTGTATGAGTATAAGTTGCCCCGTGTGCCCAACGTGTAGGCGAGTCTACCTCAACCCAGAAAATATTAATATAAAATCTGAAATTTTAACTATTTATCGTGACATTTAAAATATTTAAGTAGTATAAATTTCAATGAATATAATAAAAAATATTTAATGAGTTTTCTACTAAATTTTGTTTAAAGTCTCCAAATTATAAATTATTTGAGGTTGCCGCGATGTTCATTTTAGTCATCTGTTTTGCGGATTAGCCTATTGTAATTTGCAGATCAAGATGGGAGAGCTTCTTGGGTGTATATTTGCCTTTGCGTTATTAATAACACTTGCAAACTCTGAAAGATTCCTAGCTACCATGCCAGGTGCATATCCCAAAAAAGCGGATGATTATATATGCACACAAATTCCTCTTCCTAAGTTTGCATCAAAAATTGGTTATGTGACAGGATTCAAGCCTATAGTAAACGATTCTGTGCACCATATTATCTTAAGCTCATGTGATGAATGGATTCCGGAAGATTTTACGCCTTTCCCTAAATCATGCTACTCCCAATGTCGAAATCACATTCTATATGCTTGGGCACACCATGGGTCACCTCTTGTGCTCCCGGAGGGCAGTGCATTTGAGATCGGCAAAAACACTGAAATTAAATCTCTATCTTTGGAAGTTCATTACAGTAGTCCTGAAGAAAAGCCAGACTATGCTACCATTGAACTCACTTATACACTTGATCCTCAACCTAACCGAGCTGGAATCATACTTCTCTATAACGATATTGCTACGATTCCTTCACACGTTCAACACTTTCCTACAAATATTTCTTGCCAGTGGGTTAATAAACTTTGTAATTAAATATAGCGGCTCATTACATATTTTAATTTAATATACTCCTATTTTTTCCACAGGCTCCATACAAGTGCTCCACTCCGTGTAATTGGAGTCCGTGCTCATTCACACGACTTGAATCGTGGTGTTTACAGTTACGTCTATCGTCCAAGTGAAGATGAATACCAGTTAATTGCAAAATCAAATGCTAAATGGCCACAAACATTTTATAAGCCAACCCAACTGTCCGTTAAATCTGACCCACTCTACCTTCAAAATGGTGATATTCTTATGGGTCGCTGTGTTTATGATTCAATGGATCGTGACAGAGAGACTGAAATGGGATCAACTCATGCGGATGAAATGTGCAATGTCTACATTATGTACACGATGGAGTAAGTCGAATGAAGATTTATTTTTTAATGCTTAAAGATTTAAATAATGCTGGTTATTTGGTATAAGTGGGGATAAGCAGGAATCTAGGTTTAAATAAAACAAAATATTACTTATTATCTCCTTTTGTATATTTTGTTTTATTGAATTATTGCCTTGTTTCTCTTAACTTATTATTTAATGAAGGCGGTGTTTCCTTGCGCACACTCTAATATTGGGCATACCTGAGTTAGTCATACAAAAGGACTCTTCTCGTTCAAATTATCTCCCAGTTAAATGCTTAGTTTCCACATGCTTTAAATGACCTTTCACATTTTAATAATAGCATGGTTGGCTCTGTGCGTATTATCTAACCTAATTATTTATGGATATAGCCAATCCACCAATTCATTCTTCATATGATTTTTATAGTGAATCACTCAAAATGTATCCTTACATTTTTAGTTTTATGTTATTGGCTTAAAATGACAAAAAAATGTGTTTGATCGTGCTAAGCAGTTCGATATTTCATTTTTTCTATTCACTCTGAAACCATTGGTTATTCTACCTGACGACAAATTATCAATGACAAGTTTTGCTTTATTTAGCATAATTATACTAGATTTCCAAGAAAAATGATGAAGACTCTAACGGTACCATTAGGCAACTACAAATAGTTCATATGAAAAATTTGAATTATAACGCTCACTTTAACCAATACATCATCAGGTTTTACGCCTCTACTAAAAGTGAATTTGACACAAGCAATCTATCAATCTAATTTTTTTCGAAATTAGTTTGATTTCTCTCTTTTACTAATTATTGCTCGCAGCTGGATGAGGTTTCCATCGCGATAAAATACATCTCATGACTGCTGAATTTATCTTTAAACCTTTTAAGCGAAACATCTATGCCTTATTATCCCATTATCTACCGTAAACTTAAGCTAATTTATTTCAATTAACCAAATTCTCTATCTATTTCTACTCGGCTTTTCTGTTTTAAGTTACCCCGTTTTACTCGTGTCATAAATATTTTACGTTGCGCTCCGTAAATTATTTCTCGAGAATGTTAGCTTTCTGTATGCAAGGTATTTTCTGTTAAAGCGATTGAAACCCCGAACACTGAAATTGGGATCATTCCCACGTTTTAGATTGAATTGGTTAAAGCAGCTATAAAACCATAAAGGGTTACTCTGGCTATCAAATTGCTACTGGATGGATATGGATGAATGGTGGATTGGGAGAAAGGCATCAGTCCTGAAAGAGGACAACCGCGATTGTGGGAACACGCGAAGTGAAGCACCAATTTCGGGTTCTTTGTTCATTGCTGGCTAGGACAAGAGTGGCAGTGGGCATAGGAGCAATGCAAATAGAGACTGATGAAACCCACGAGGCAAAGTGTGCTAGTATTACATGGCTCTCATTTTTTATTTAAAAAATTTCATTCCCAAAGTTTATGCCCCGGTTTAATTTAGAAATGTTACGTTGTTTAAAATTGAAATCCACTTAGGCATAACATATTTCTACACGACTTTATTTGATGGTTGAACTTAATACTCCAATACAATTTCATTCTTGAATATCTCTCTGTTCACTTAAACTTTTTTTCAAATATCTAAGGATGTATTAAAATTAGAAACACCCCATCTATAGACTTGGTATCGACAGCCCCTAAAACTTTCATTCATTTCTTTGATGTCTTTTATGTTCGTACCGGTGAAATAATAGGTCAAGGTTGTTCATGATCATATTAAATTCAAGAAATATAGCCAACATTTCTGCGTACTCATAAAAAATAGGGACCTCTGTATAACTTATGAAAATGCGATCAAAATTAAATTACGGAAAAAGCGTAATAAAACATTAGTGTAGCATAAAAATGTTCAAATAAATATTGAAATTTTTTAACCCATCAACGACGTATCCAATATTCCCAACCATCTAAAACCATCTAAAATCCGTTTCTAAAATAATAGCCAATAGTAATTTTTTGCTCTCCCTCCACACGTGATCGAGGGCTAGAAATCGATGTCCCAACAGAATTTGTACTCTCCCCACCTCTCAAAATTATCCCTGCATCAATCCCTAATTGGCTATCTCCCGCCCACGCATGAAAGGCAGGAGTGAGTTCACCTCATGCATTAACCAATCAAATTACAGAATTCAAAGTATTCATTTAGAAAAATGGATTACTGTCAACGTGGCAAACTCATAGGTATTCTATTTATATAGCCACCGAAGACGGTGAACTTATTTTTAACCACCTACTATATTAACTAAGTAAAATCCGAGATGGGTTGATAAGTATAATTAAAAATTAGTTTAACTTAGAGATACCCAATAAGTATTTGTAAAAGACTAATGTAATGTTTTTAAAAGGATCGTGTCATCAGTGGCGAGGTCTTAACTGATTGAGGTGTGGGTATTATTGGGTGTAGTCATATTTGAATAAAATTGGTTTTATTAGTTAACACTGAAAACTGAACTCTGATAGTTACTTTGTTTTACTACTTAATAAAATTTCTAGAGTCCAAAATGTGGTTATAGTATAGTATTTTAGCTCTCTTACTGAACTAATATTCAAGTAGAGAGGAAATCTTTTTGATACTGAGGTTATTTTCTTCTGTCTAGCTCGCTGCATGACCCTCCATCTCCAGAGTTGTGTGCGGATGATGGGGTTCCCGACGTGTGGGAGAATGCACCTGCTGAAGCCACTGAATACGTCACCAACACCCCTCCTGCTCCAGTTGAAGAAGAGGAAGAACCTTCAAAATCATCTATTCCAAGAGCCATTAAATTCGAACCAGACAACAATTGGTCCGTCAAAGGCATTCGCCTTACTAAAGTAAGGAGAAAATTTGGTGTAAATATTCTTATATTTGAGGTGTTCTCTAACTGAAAAAGTTAGTCAGTGTCCTCAACCAGGTCGTTTTAGGTCACTTAAAATTCACAGAAAACGAAGGGTTAAAATAATCCGTTGAATAATCTCAACTTATGAGTTGTCTTTCATGAATTTAAATTTGGCAACCATAATTCATACAGAAATCGGAGATTTTGCATAATGGTAAACGATGCTTGTAAGAAAGAATGGATAAATCAGTTTATAAAAAAATTATCTGCAGTGAATGAAGATAAATAATAAAATGTTTTTTTTTAAAAATTATGTTAATAAATGCGAAGTTCACAAATTAGCGCATTTTTTGTGCAAAACGGCTAACTATTTGTTGGCTATTTTTAAATCATTAACGTGATTTATAGCACTTTTAAGGGAGAGGAAATGGCCTCTATTTGAGTAATTACGGCACCATGGACAGTTTGTGGGTAAAGTGACATGTTAGTAATCTTATTTATTGCAATTTATCGAATTGTTAGGTCCCTCATGATTGTAGGACTCTGATTATCTTCCAGATATGCTAATTCTTTTCAGAGGATGGGGAACTGCGTCCTCCATACATCTGCCAAACAGAACATAAAATCTGTGACAGTTATTAGTGGACCTACTACTCTAGTCCGCAGATTAGTCGGTTCATCCCAGTTAGTTCTAGGAAGAAAAATTTCGTTTATTTCACTCACTAGATATGTATGGATGCAATTTCAAATAAAATCTCATTTCAAATATGTCGCAGCTTGAGTTTGTGCTCACCGTTGTTAATTAGCGACACCATACTTTGTGCAGGTATCTGGCATAGCTTTTGCCAATGACGCAGATGAAAAACCCATTCTCTTCGCTCTTCTACGTGGGAACAACCCATGGAACGTGGATTCATTCGGTGAAAATTTTAAGTACATTGAACGATCTGCAGATTATATTTCCTCACCGATTCTCAAAATTGATCCAGTGTCTGGGAGAATCATGGAGTCCTTTGGTGATGGTCAATTTATATTACCTCATGGTTTGTCCATCGCTAAAGACAGAGAAGGAAAGCCTATTGCTCTTTGGGTCACTGATATTGCACGTCATCAGGTGTTGAAATTCGACTGGAATGCCTGGAGTAAACCTTCAATGGTTCTGGGAAAATTCACAAAGCCTGGAGCTGATGAAAAATCCTTCTGCCAACCAGCTGACGTCGCGGTTGCTAGTACGGTAAGAAGCTTATTTTCATTTTCTTAATGTACCGTAAAGATGAATGAGTGAATGCGGAACGTTTCGCAGGGTGATTGGGTGGTGGGGAGGGGTGGGTGGGTGTATTGAAAGGACTCTAATGACGTCAACTTATTCAGGACACGGATTTTGTCAAAAAATGATGAATAACTTTCAAGCTTTAAGCGCATTAAAGGGAGGCGGCTTCTGGACTCGATGGTGGACTTTATTTTTAATTTTACCACTTTTCAGCCTTGATACGTGACATCATACCACCTTAAGACCTTAATTAGGGAAATATTTTCGCGTCTCCCTATTTTTTTTCAAGCAACTTTGAAATTGAAAAAAGAAGAATTGAAAGCACCCTCTTGACTGCGTAAAAATTTGTTCTAGTTGTTTGCCAATTTCCTCCTTTGCAATTAAACATGTTGCATCGCGTTTCCGGAACATTTCTGAGAAGCTAGAATCTTGTGAGAATTTATTTGCATTGAATTGCATTCTGCCTATTTTTAGCTTCGAGAATGAAAAACTGTTGGTATCTTTTTCTTTCTCGATTAAAAAAATGGTGTAAGACGTTTGCATTATGCATTTCCTATTAATGTGAACAGTTTGTATTTCTCTGTGATATTGCGGAGTGGCAATAAAGCAATGTCCAAATCTTTCTGCTCCATTTTGTTTTTATTTTGCCTTTGGGGAAATAATTTGAGTTTAGAGTTTTTTTTACAATATATGTGTGCCTAAGTAAATAATTTTTTGTAATTTATGGAAAATGTCCGTCGCTCTAAAATAAAAAACAACAGCTGTTTATGGCAAGATCATTTGAATTTAATAATATTTAAATTTTTATCTCATGCATGTTCATCAATTTGTGATGTCTTTTGTAATAAGTATCATCCTTCAAAACATAGGTTCATGAGCATATAAGCATTTTAGAAAAACATCACCTTCCTAATTATTTAACAATTTTGTGCTGCACTTCCAATAGGGAGAAATATTTGTAGCCGACGGTTACTGCAACCAACGTGTGGTGAAGTTCTCTCCCAATGGCAAATACATCACAGAATGGGGAGTTGGTGGAGTGAATGCACGTAGGGTTTTTTCAAAGGGATTCCTCGTTGCTCACAGCATTGTGGTTCTGCCTGCGATTGATGGTGGAGTTGAACAGGTGTGTGTTGCCGATCGTGAACGCGGCATGATCGACTGCTATGATCTCAACGGGCGTCCTATTGTTCGGTATGGCGGTAGAGTACTTCAACCATCGGTCTATGCTATCACATTCCATCCCCTCTACAAGTAAGCCAGCTATAGTTGTGACACATTTTGTTTAGAGCGCCTCTAGTAAGCGTGCTCTCGGTTTGATTTTGTGGCCGTTTATCTTCGAGTTAATAGAACTAACTTTTGCGTTATAGAGGTTTGCTAAAATTTAGAGCATTGATGGGGGGGTAGCATTGATCCTACCTTTGATGTTAGGAGCTATTGGAAGCAATAAGTTTGACTTTGAACAGATAAGGGTAGTGCGACTCAAGATGGGGTAGACACGAAAAGTGGTTATAATAATAATAATTAAATAATGACAATAAAAATGTGGGTGTGGGGGGGGGGCTGGGGAGAGCAGTACTCTGTTGATTAAAGTCTGGCCAGCCAAAAGTAAAAGGACGCATGCCCCAAGGGTTATTTATATTCCCATATAGACATGATGATGACTGACCAACGGAAGGTCTGCCTATCGGAGCATAAAGGTCAGTAAAATTAACTTTAAAGATTAATTATAGATAAAAAGTAAGGACTAAATTGCTAAACGACCTTTAACTTGCCAGGTACATAGTATTGTTTTTAAACTTAGCTACATTTTGATTTATATTCGCATTTCTACATTTATTTACTCATTTGTTAAAATTGGACTTGCATAGGTTGTTTTAAAGAGACTATATCAATCGTCATCGAATTGAGATTGGACGTCATTTCTTTGTGACTCATTTGTAATAGGTTCGTGTGTATTAAATACACTTTTACTGCATTATTAATGCTGAATATAGTTGAGAATCCGACAGTTTCACAAACATAATTTTAATTTATAAATCCGGTTTAAAAGGGCACCACACGTTAATAGTTATTGAATAATAAGTTATAAATTAAGAAGTTTAATAGATAATTAATAGATAGAAACCAATTTATTTTCAAACAAATATTTCGCAGGTGGGGGAAAGCCTTAGGTGCTTATTTTTTTGAATTCCAATTATCCTTTGCGAAATTACTTATGTATTACAATTATTGGAAATTTATCGTTAAATTTTTATCGGCAAATACGTAACTATTGGTTATTAACTGTGAATTTCAAGATAAAATTTCGATATAATTATTATTTAATAATTTTCGCAGTGTTAAAATAGTTATTGCATTATTAATTACTTTGAATAAGCATAAACGAGGGATTTTAGTATTATTTTATTTTAATTTAGACTGACATATTTGATTTTTCAGTTAATTGTAAACTCCCTTTTTTAGGTTGATGTTTGGTGTTACAGGACCGTCGGCGAGAGGTCTTAGCACTACAGAAGATTATTTGCCGATTTACGGGGAGGAGAATGCTGAAAGCGCGTTTGTTTTCCGGCCGCTTTTCGGATCCAATGAATCTTCTGAAAGCCATTCCCGATACATCACCTATCGTGACCATGTTATTGATTTGTATCTAAACAGTCCGCATGATATTGAACTCAACTCTGATGGATCCATGCTATTTGTAGCCCAGTTGGAATCTCCGTATCTATCGAAAATTGATATCATCAAATCAGGTCGGTAACTCTTTTTTCCCCTATTTCAACTAAGTTGATTATCTGCAAGACATTCAACATTACAATGTCCACAAATTTAAATGAAAGTGATATTAAAATATTGTTTGAACTTGGATTAGTGTAACACAATTTAATTTATTCACAATTTACTTTGCCAAGGGGGCGCAGTTTTCATCTTTTTGGTTTTTGCTATTAACTTCTTCTCTGCTTTATATTTGCTAATGGATAGTTTCATTCGCTTATTTGATCTTTTCAAAACAAATGAAAAGAAGTTGATCAAAGTACTGAATAGCGGTTTAGGTGTTGTAATTTTAGTATGTTTAAAAAAAATTATTTGTGCTTTCTTAACTGTTGAAAAAGTAAAATTAAAGAAAGTACCTGTTACATTTATAAGTATCTCCTTTTAAATTAGTCCCGTTTATGTTATTGCCATTGCTATTTCAACGCGGTTTTCCCTGTTTAAGGTGTCTATTTGTATGCGGAATCATATTTGGCACATTTAGTAGAAATCACTCCTTAACTTCCCACTAGTACTATTTTGAATAAAAAAAGACACTCAATCACTGACAATTGTTGAATTGACTTATATGTGGTAAGGGGTGGGGTTTTCGCGGTATCATTAAAGGGAGTATTCTAACCAGCAAATTATCCACACTTTATTTATAGACATGCTTCAATGTTTAAAGTCTGATATTTTTGCTGTTGTTTCCCAACCTCTGAATATTTCTATGTTCACGACAATTCTAGCAGGCTTCATAATTTTTAATCAAGCAGGATTTTTTAATGGCAATTATTTTTCAACATTTCAGCTACACTAGTTGAAAAAAGCAGTCAGTTTGTAGTCATTTTAACCATACGACAATTTGATCTGTGTGTTTATAACTACATTGTGAACACTTATTGTTTGTGTCATTTAAGTAGTGAATAAATTGACAAGATTATTCATACGGTCACATTTGAACGTGCTAAGTAGAAGATTAGCCCAGTTAGGGTACTTAATATGATAATACAATGATGTCTTTTACCAAGAACCCTGGTTTATTCGAATTCCATGAGTATTGGTTTGCCCAATTTCTCGTATTTGTTTTAAATCACTCTTAAACAGTCCGAGGTCCTCTGATAATTGATAACTGGGTTTCTGGTTTTCGCGATTGCGAAATTTTATTGAACCGGTTACTCTACCTGAATCTTCACCCTGTAACTTTTATCATTTCCTGGAATTTACTGATGGAAAATCTGATTATATACAAGTTACCGGACAGTTTAGTAGCAGTTTATTTTTGACACATTTGTGTTTTTATTCCCTAATTGTTTATTCCAAGTTATAATATGTCAATAAATCAGGTTATTATACTAAATTGCATTTTGATGCGATTCTAAATAATTATTAGAAAAAAACAGTCTGCAAAAGTATTGAAAATAGGTGTCTGAATTAACAGTTAGTTTAATTGGAACAAGATACTGTTAGGGGTTTTGAATACTTTTCACCCCTTAATTCAATAAACGTGGTCTTTTTATCAAATTAACAGATTTAAATTTTTATTTTGAAAAATATAGAGCTAAAATTGTGGAAACAATGTTAAATTATATACCTTAATAAAATTTATTTAATAAATTAGAAAAAACTGGTGGTACTGCTGGAAAGAACGCAAGTGGTGAACCAGTTTATCTGGTGTTCAGTTCCATGCCAAGGACTCTAACACAAAAGATAATTATTACCTGTGCTTTGATCACGCTTTGCGCTGTGGTCGCGATTATTGGCATAGTTCTCTATCGAAGTTGCAAAAGTCAACTCTGGAGTCATCCAAAAGTCAACAGATTTCAGAAACATCGGAGTGGCAATGTCGGTGGCAAATGGAAGCGCAATGATGGCTTCAAACCGCTTCTTAAGGGTCTCCAGGGTCTCGATACTGTTGCTGATGAAGATGAAGATGATGACGATTCTAACACGATAATAGATATTCGGCATTTCGGCCCGCCCAATACTAGAGCTAACCATTTCCATGACTCTGAATCTAACCGCCATATTGATACGTAATTTATATATCACAAGCAAACGCGCATTCATGATTACCAAAGCTTTGTAAATACGCAGCTAACTTTTATTCTCGCTCCATTTTTTTAACAACTGTCCCCTTCCCATTAACTATGAATGCGCAAACGAGACAATATGTACAATTCCCATTAAATTGGTCCATTTTAGAAGAGTAAACCGCCCAACTGGGGTCATCTAACGCACACATATCCCCACTCCCAATCAAGGTGAAGCAGAGAGGCAGAGAGATATTGGAGCATGGAACGTCAATGATAATGTTAGTTTATGTTACGTGAGCTTTCTATCTCTTACTGCTGTGAAACCTTCTATTCTCTTCTCTCGCCTTGTCCTTGACCTCTGTGTGCACATGTGTTTGTCCACTTCTCTTCTCTCACGTGACCTCTCGTCCTCTCCTCTCCTCCCCTCCCCTTCACATACGTGTGTGCTTAGTGGCCCCGGGGCATTTTTTTTGTCGCTCTTAAATGTTGTGTGCAAATGGTGACGTGTTTATTCCTCTTCTTTTTTTCTCTGTGTGAGTTTGGTTTGTGCCTATGTCCTTGAAAGCAATTTTTAATAATATCATTTGTTTGTCCCATTCGCAACAGCATTGAAGCTCAGATATTCATGATTATTCAATGCTATTTCCTTTTCTAACACCGTTCACAAACATATGCACTCCTTTCCTTACTTTCATCTTGTGTGAGGCTGAATTGTAGCTGTAGTTAAATTGCTCAGTGCACTTAAATCGATGGGTGTGAGGTGTGTTTAAATTATGACCAATAGGAAAGAGTATTGGGAAATTTCAAGATGACGAGAGAAACAGCAGCTGGGTTTTAAGGTGAAAAAATATTAATACTGTATGAGAAGCAGAGGATATGCTAAAATGTAGTTAGAGGAATTTATTGATCATTATGTGTAGAGATGTAAGGAGTGAGATAGGGTACTTCAATCGGAAAAGAGGGGAGAGAGGGTTCAGTGTTGGATATTTATTTTTGTCCCAAGGTAGTCTTTATGATGGCTATCATTAGCCCTTTAGTCGATTTCGGGTTTCACAAGGGGGAAGGGATATTAAAGTCACAACAAGTCGAGTGTAGGAACAGAAGAGCGCTTTACAGATGTAAAAGAGAAACAGACGCAAGGGCAGAGAAAAAGTTAAGATAAGTTCTGTGGAAGTGGTGGAATATGACATACAGTGGGGTCATGGTAGCTTAAAGTCAACTGGGCTGAATATACGTTGCCCAGGGTTCACCACTCCGAAGGAATTTGCCTTAAATCCAGATCATAGGTGTTGCTAAAAAGAAGGGTTCAGAGTGAGTGAAGAGTGTAACCAAAACATCAGTTTCAATCCACAAGTAAGTGACGCACCTGAGTTGTACTGACAAAGCTGGCTAAAACGGAGTGGAATATCCAGCCGACGGTAATTGTGGGCTGCTTTGATTTGCGGGAATCGGGCTGTTTGTTTTTTCTCAAGCCGAGGCACTTATGTTGCTATTTTTTGAAATAATCTTCAGGAAAGAGTATCATTCATTGAACTTCGGTAGTAAAAAATGTAAATGCTTGCCTCACCTAATTTTGACTTTGTCACCCATTGGATTTTCACTGATGAGCATTAAAGCAATGACCCCTGACTTTTCGTTATATTTCTTCGCAAGATACTAGATTTAGGAAATACGTACGTTCTCTAATTACTGCCAACGACCATCTCAATTTCCTCAACTTCGACTTATAAGTGAAATTGTTGAAGTATTTCAGAGATGAACAGGGTTATGGGAAAGTGTTCCGGTTTTTCAAGTTGAGAGAAATTAATTGAGTGTCGGCAGCATATAAAAGATGAAACAAAAAGAGATTCTGCAAGAAGAAGTCTTTTTTAAACGTGGGATTGAGATTAAACTTTCGACTACAACTCCTTAACTTATTCATCTCTTGATTATAGAACCCATAACCTTAAGTAATTTATACTTGTTTCCATTAATTTTCGCATAACTAGGAGTCAAACTTTGCAATAATGCATCACCCTACTTATAATCGATTAAATACTTGCCAACCTTCCTGATTAAAGGAGGTATTTAAATCAACAAAATTGATAAGAGTGCAAAGATAATCAGATTAGTGTTTGAATTAAATAGTATTCAAAACGGCATCGTAGTAAAGAGGGAATGCGCTCATTTTGTTTCATTCTCAAACTCTTAACGGCCAAATGTGACATTGATAACGTACCATATAAAAGTTTCTGTCGTCAACTATCACCTAGAGCACGTAAACTCTTTGATGGTTATTGAATACTCATGCATGCACTGGCTTGCTGCCACTTATGGAAATTTTCATCATATATATGGTTAATTTCTTAAATGTCTTTTTTTCAAATTTTCTTATTTGCCAAATGCCACTATCAACCTCAACGTTTGCATGGTTGGTTTCTTCTCTAAGATGATGCCTACACCAAAGACGAGGAAATCATCTGATTTACCTTAGCAATCAGCCAATAAAACAAGCATATTTGTCATTCGCGTTATGCAATGAATCAGTCTGTGTAGATTGTTTGATTGACAATTTTGCTGTCTATTTCTTCTTAAACTGAAATGATAACCTAGTGGATAAAACAATGGGCCACAGAGTTAAAATATTTCTTCTATTTCTCTTTGCAGAACGAGTATGCATAGCACATTAGAGAGTGGGGGGGGGGGATTTAATCGAAATAAAGCCAAATTTATTTGAAAATATGAAAAGCTTTACAATTTCGAGACTTCAGAGGAAAGGGACGCAATTTATGCTATTCCCCTGAGAGCCTTCATGCCAACAGCTGGAGAAGACTTTAAATGGGCTAATTTATTCTAAGATGTCAAACATGATGGAGGTGGGTAACACACACTGACGTGGAAGGATACATCAACACACCACACCTATCGTCATCGAGTTAGTCGTACCTTTGTCATCAAAAGAAGTACATTAGTGTGCTTACCCTCCACGCAGGATAGCTCTCCCATTAGCTGAATCGCCTTGAAAGTCTTCACTTAATAATTTTATTTTACAGAATATTTACCCAGGAATGATGAATAATTCCTATTTTAGCCAATAAAATTCCAAACGAATAGCATTTGTGTGTGTGTGTGTGGGGGGGGAGGGTATGTTCTAAAATATTGCAAACGCCCAACTCTTACGCGTTTAGAATTTTGAAAACGATAGGGTAGTCAAAATTTGCATGTGCTAAAAACTTTTGAGGTGTTTATTACATCGACATCAAGATGGCTGCATGGTTAGTTAAAAGGTAAATAATTACAAATGTGATTTTCCATCTCAAGTTTATTACCAAGCTGTACTTGAAGATTACCGTGGGATTTGACTCCCTAGAGTGTGCTTATACCTCTAAAATTAATGAAAGCGAGAGTTCCATTATTTAAAATTCCAAATATCTTGTCACAATCAGATAAGCAGTAAGGCTGTTTATGTTTTCATAATTTAAAATGACATATACTAATTGGATGAGGGAACAAATAGCTGGCAATTTGAGCCTATAACGTTGAAGGAAGTTATAAGCAAACGTGAAATTATTTATTTAAGACCGCATTTTCGGCTCTGATTTGGGTGAAAAATCTGAGCAAAAAATGCACTAATTCATTTGAGCACACAACTTAAGAAGTAATAAGACGTTCCGAAGTATCTTAAATGGAGAATTTTGTGTTCTCCACCCTACCATTGCTTAGGAGGTTGCAATATGCTTCCGATGTGTGTGGACACCGACTTGATCACGGTGAGATTAAATGCACAAAATCCAGCCTCCTCTAAGGATCCACCAAGAATCAAAATTTAAATCATCCAAAATATTTCACTCTCAAAACCGTCTAAGAAGGTCTTATATGGTTGTTAGATGAAAAATATAGGCAAACAACTGACTATGGTAACGACAAGATTTGTTTGGTGAACTTCTCTAAAATTGTCAGAAGAGGAAAATATTCATTAAAAAAGAAAAATATATTTGGGCAGTGATAATTTCTCGTTTACAAGTTGACACTTTTCTTTAATTTCCAATCCTATGATCTGACCAAAGAGAGCAATAAAAATTCACCTCTCACAAGTGACAAAGCTGGTGAAAACCATTCAAACAAATTTTTGCAGTCAACTGTTTAATTTGGTGTATACTGAAACGATTAAAATTGGTCATGCTTGCCAAACCAGCTGAAAACTAAGGCTCACTTTGACTACGCTACGAAACGGTAAATTGATGACATAAAATGAAAGACCAAAATTTTGTAAACTAGGTAAAAAAAGAAAAAGGCCTTATATGGTTATAATAGGTAGGTTACAAATAATATAAATACATGTGAATTAGTACTAACTTTATCAACTTACTTAGTTAAAGAAAGTAATTGAGCATTTTCAGGATGTGCTGTGTAAATTTGGTGAGGACTTTTGATTTTCGACGCTTTGTATTCTACTTAAATGTATTAAGTAAAGTCGGCATTAGGTATTTTCTTAAACGAGAAATTTAAAATGGTTGCTTGTAATTAACGAATAATCAAATCATTTTTTAGTGGATGGGGTGCGTGATAGACTTACCTCCACGTGATGCACCATGGACAACGTTTATTCACACGGCAAAAAGTCTATTACCGGCATTTAACTTCAATTTATTATGATTAGCTTGAAACGAAGCTGTAAGAGAAATCGCCCTCGTCAGGGCAAATCACAACTTCTATAGATCCTTCAGTGGAATGCTGGAGGGATGTCACAGGACTAAAAGATCCAAATCCTGCATACCTATGATTTAGACATATTTACAATCATGGAAGCTAACCTTACGGATGACAAACTCAAATACTACTAATTCTCAGGTTAAACCTTATACCTTCTTTCTACATACCTGCAAGTTCCAAGTGGAATTCTGACTAGAGTAAAAGAAGGCCTCACATCACATTACAATCTAATCAAGAGTATGGGCCCGATGCAGGACATATAAGAAATAATCAGATTGAATATTTGGAAATGTCAAAACCACTTCAAGATATACACAGTCTATAATCCACAACAGAATAGCCCCAAATTTGATTTTCTGAACATCTCACACAAAAATGTAGTATAAGGAGATTTCAACGCCCATTCCACCAGATGGAGCCATAAGAACACAAACATAGCTGGAAATCGAAGACATGCTTAACAGCAGCAATCTAGAACTTATTTATAGCAATGAGGATCCTGTTACATATCTGCACTACAATGGAACCAGAACAACTCCTGACTTACTCCTGGCTTCAAGCGACATCAGCGAGCATACGCACCGCAAAATAATTGACGATCCTGGTTCTGGTCACAAACCAGTCATTGCTAGTATTACTATCGGTGGCAAAAGCATGACAAGGAAAGTGCCAACTAAGCTATCATGGAACTTCAAGAAGGCTGACTGGCCTAGATTCACAAACCTTTTAGAGAATGAACTTCACACATGTCCCCTCAACTTCAACCAACATCCTGACAAACTTTGAAACCATATCACGAAAATTATGATCAGGTGTGCAAGGAAAACTATTCACCATGGCAAGATGATCAGATGTGCAAAGAAAACTATTCCCCGAGGCAAATATAAACACTATCGAGTGTTTTGGTCTAGGCACCTTGAGGAAGCCTATCGAGTGTTTTGATCTAAACACCTTGAGGAACTGAAATGAGTGTTTTGGTCTAAACACCTTGAGGAACTGGAAAGATAGTGTTTTGGTCTAAACACCTTGAGGAACTAAAAAGAAAGCTGTTTTGGTCCAAACACCTTGAGGAACTGAAAAGAAAGAGAACTATTCCCCGAGGCAAAACTAAACACTATCGAGTGTTATACCAGAGGCAAGACTAAACACTATCGGGTGTTTTGGTCTAAGCACCTTGAGGAACTGAAAAGAAATGGAGGAACTGAAAAGAAAGCGGGACGCCCTTCGCAACACCTTGATCAGACTGGAAGAACGGAAGACGTACAAGCCTGGAGAGGAAAATCAGCTGTCCTAGGGCAAGCCATCGCTAAACGGATGGCTTTCGACAAGTTCATCTCAAATATCACCTATCAAAGTGATGCTGTTCTAAGACAAGCCATCTTACAAGCTAAACGGACTTCCACTATGGCAAGCCATCTTGCAAGCTAAACGCACTTCTTTCGAATCTCAAATATCAACTATCAAAGTGATACCCAACGCACTTTCCAACAATATCAACTATCAAAGTGATAGGAACGCACTTTCAAATTCCTGGGTAACCTCCAAAACAACAATGGACGCACTTTCAAATTCCTGGGTAACCTCCAAAACAACAGGTAAAGACCCAAGAAAGAGCGAGTACGCTTAAACAACAAACGGCTTACCACTGACTCCGAAATGGCTAAATACTTTGCGAGGTTCTATTCCTACAAGCCAAAGAAAAACCCCTTTGTCATAAAATCTTCAAGAAGTATTAAGATACAAGCAAGACAGTTTGGTGAAATTAAGGAAGACACAACAATACCAAATAATATACTTACTGAACCATTCAGAAATTGCGAACTTAATGCTGCGATAAAACAGCTCAAGTGCAAAAAGTCTCCTGGCGAGGACGGTATTCATCCGGAATTTCTAATTAGAATGGGGCCAAAAGCCAAGGAAACCATGCTGACACATTTCACCAAAATCTGAGAGACCAGTCTCGAACCTAATCAATGGAAAGTTGCCATAGAAATACCAATACTAAAAAAGGGCAAAGACCCTTGAAACTTTGACAACTATAGGCTTATCTCCCTCACAATCATGTTGGCTAAACTTATGGAAAGAACGGTTAACAGGAGGCACACTGGCTAAACTTATGGAAAGAACGGTTAACAGGAGGCTGACCTGGTTTCTTGAGACCAACAATATTCTAAGAAATAAAATAGCAGGTTTTAGGCCACAAAAATCAACGAACCAACAAGTAGCCACTTTCTCCCAACACATCAAAGATGCTCTTGATGCAAGAAAGACCCTTACGGCTGTTTTCGTCGATTTCAAATCAGCATATGACTTAGTATGGAAAGAGAACCTAATTCTAAAATTGGCAAAGATTGGTATTAAGCATAACATGCTAAACTGGATAAAAGCATTCATTTGACAAAGATCGTGTAAAGTCAGATACGGAAATGCTCTATCAAAATCCAATCTTTTACAAACAGGCCTTCCACATGGAGCTGTCACAAGCTGCACTCTTTTCAATGTCTTCATCAATGACATAGCCGAACTGGTACAGACAGTCGCGGGCATCAAGTGCTTACTTTATGCAGATGATCTTGTTCTATGGTATTCCGCCCCTAAGAAAAACGCTCAGGAGAGGACAGAAAGTGCCCTAAATTGTGCACTTAAACAACTAGCAAACTGGTGCGACAACAATGGAATGGTAATCAACACTGCGAAAACTGCATTCCAAACATTTTCTTTGGCCCATCACAGCATAAACCCGCTTCTAAGGTACAAGGATACTACCCTAGAAAAAACCAATGAGTTCACATATCTCGGAATGGCGTTTAACACAAAGCTAACATGGAAAAGTCGCATTGCTAAAATAGCAGAACGAATCTCCAATAGACTGAATGTACTGAAGCGTCTTGCTAGTAGCGTATGGGATTGTGCACGCTCAACTCTTAACACCACTTGCAAGATGTTTGTTCAACCGTTTCAACACCACTTGCAAGATGTTTGTTCAACCGATAATGTTGTATTGTTGTGAGCCACTCATTACAGCCACAGAGGTGACTCTCAAACCACTCGAGAAGGCACACAACCAAGCATTACGACTAATCACTGGAGGGATAATATCAACACCCAACCGCTTGACTACTTACGGAAATCAAACACCCCTCCAGAACAAATGCCCTCACTGGCCCTTGAGACAATCAATGTCATCTATCCTGCAGATCAATGGCCCCAAGTCTTCACTGATGGGCCTTACATACAAAACCAAGCAAACGTTGGTGCAGGTGTCTACTCTGAACTCTTCTCTTTCTATGCAGCATCTGGACACAAAAGATCCGCTTTCGAAGGAGAAAGAGGTCATTAAGATAGCACTGGGCCAATTATGTTGCCTGGGTACGAAATTCACCAAAGCAGTAATATTTTCGGACTCACAGTCAGCAATTAAACTCAATTGGAAGCAGGAAGCCACCCAAAATAGCTGAAATATACGAATGTAAAAAACCGTATCAGCTGCTGAGAGATAAAACAAAACAGTGGAAAACGCTATGAGCTGCTGAGAGAGATAAAACAAAACAGTGGTCCTACAATGGATTCCTGGTCACTGTGGCATTAAAGGTAATGAGCTTGCTGACACACTTGCTAAGGGGACAACGATTTTGTAAGGCATGGACCTGCCGATGTCTTTCCACACAATGAAGACCTTAATCAGGAGA